TATATACCTGTTAATTGTAATTTTCTACTCAAAAAAGAAATGTCATTTCAAAAATGTTATTTCCAGCTTATTATCGTTTGTAGTACGCATAAATCTGTAAGAATCGACTGGACTACTTTACAAAACAAGATATGACTTTTATTTTGTGGTTTAATGTTGTTTAGTACACCGAGAAAAGAAATGGTTGAATTTATAAAATTAGTGGTTACGTACGTTCAAAGAAATAACGTGTTCATCGAATACATTACGCAGTGATGCAGACATATTATGTTAACACAGCGGTATCAACGTGATATGTTTTTGTAAAAGCGTAATGTGTTCAGTGGACATTATATTTTGAATATATGTGACTGACGTAAATTTCGTAAATTTAATCGCTTTTTTCTCAGTTTAGAAATATATTTAGATGCAAATACGAGTAGCAGAGTAACACGAAATGACGTGGTATAATATTTTTAACGTCAATAATATATTATTAGGGAGATTTTGCAAATAGCATCTTTCAGATATGGTAAATGCTAAAATGCGTTCCATTATGCACTTTTAGTATTTCATATAAATATAAAATATTAAGTATTAAGTTTCAAATATAAATCAATAAATTAATATAAATAAATAAGTATCAATAATGATTATAATAATAATATTTTATATTATAATTATATTATAAATATTTATAATTAATATTATGTAAATTAATTAATGTAAATAAATAAATAAAAAATATTAAATATCAAGTTTTGAAAATCCTTATAAAATATTGTTGGAAATATATGTTGGAATGTAGTTTAGCGTTTATCATATCTAAAATACGAAATTGCAAAAACTTCTTATTAAGACGTCTTTAGACGGTATATTCCTATCTAAGGAATAAATATGAATAAATAAATTTGTTACCCTACAATAAGATAGCAACTATACACGATCGAACAGCATGAGAATGAACCTACTCACTTTTATATACACATTAAATGAGTTTTTTCAATTCTCTAAACTAAGATATTTGTCATATCCATATTTTAATTCTGCATTATCACATGTAGTATTTATATTTTACTTTTAGTTCTAAACTAAGAAGTAAAGAATGAACGTGAAGATGTATGTATGAAAATACGCGAATATTATCTTTATATAACTTTATCAAATGTAATCGTCTTTGAGAAATTATATCGTATGGTCAGAAGATTTACTCGTAGTTATCTTTAACTTTATGCTTTTGTGAAGGAAAACGAAGAATATAAATTATTAACAATATTTCACTTATACATTTGGACGGAGTTCAATCAAGGACACCAAAAATAGCAGCATATAATAATGGAAATGTACCATTTGAATTACATATTCGAAATAACAGTATTATTACTGTACTAGGAAAATATAATCTGACGAATATAATACAAAAAGATGTGAAGCAAATAGAAATTAATGATATATTAAGTACCTCGGAATGTGTTAGTAAGTATAAATAATAAGTACACGTATGAAAAATAAAAGTATGAAAAATAAAAAGTCAAATAACTACACACATACACATGCACACATACACGAACACATATATATATATATATACATATGTATATACATATATATATATATATATATATATATATATATATATACAATATTAGCCTACCCGCCGCTTATATAACATCATTGTTTATAAAAAATTAAGTAAAAAAGTCCTGAGTCATTTTGTCTTCATGCTGATATTCTTAGATAAATTCCAATTAATCTGCGACTTCAATCTATTCTTTTGATAGATAAACGTACTATGTGCTCAATAGTATGCGCATACGTATATTATGAAGCACACAACACGCAAACATTTATGTGTCTAAAGCATGATGCATATTAGTTGAAATTTACTTACGACTATTTCCTTCATAAAGCATCGTAGAGAAAAATAACTGGGGATTTTTTTATTTAATTCTTTATAAACAATAACTCTACATAATCAATGGGCGACGAGTAGATTAACATCCTATGTATATTGGAAAGAGAAATTAGAGAAAACTGTATAAAGCAGATAAGAAAAAAGAATGAAAGAAAAAAGGGAAATGTGAGAGAATGAAAAATTATGATAAATTAATTATAATAAATTAATTGTTCTAATATAATTTTAGAATTAGAAGGTTTTATAAAAAGCAATTTTGGAAAAATTTACAATCATAAATTAAATAAATATATCGGCTGCGGTTCTATTACGGATGGTATTTATAAAATTGAAGTACATATATTAAATTTTGATGAAAAGAAATATGAAGAGAAAAAGATAAAAAAGGAAATAAAGTACAACTAATTGGCACGGTGCAAAATACAGGTATTAATAGAAATACATAATATGTATAATCTATACAGAATATCCCATTTTAATTAACTCTCACGTGCGCGCGCGCACATACACACACATCAAGAAATGTAAATCCGACCATGCAACCTCCACGCGATATACTTTACCACGCGGGTAATGCTAATGCCGGGGATAATATAATTTTCAAATTCTATAACTAGGAAAATTCTTACGGAAAAAAAGTTTGTATCCAATGTTTCGAAAACGTCTTTTCGAAAAAAAGACCTGAGGAAATTAAAATGGGACACTTTGTATACAAAGTAAATATTAATAAGTGTCTCATTTGTTTACCTTGCGATATGAATTATCGACTGTCATAATTATCCGAGAGGGGTGAAGATAGTTTGCATATATTTTATATCTACTTCTTGCACGCGTGGTTTGCTTCTTTAAAATTAAATATTTATCATCACACAGAAATCATATATAAATTGATCCTGTTACATATAAAATATTTATCTTTTACTTTACTTCAGAGAGTTAAAAAATGAATCACATCAAGATATAAATATCAAATGTCCGCATATCATTCTTTATTCTACTTGATCAATTGTAATTGTTGTCAATAATTTTATGTACTATTTTAGATATATACATCGATTTAAACTTATTGTACATACATAGTGTTGAATAATTACGTATTATTTATTGAACTTTTTTGTTAATAACTTTTTAATAAACAGTGAGCAACGGTTAAAATTCTTCATTGTTACTCAAGAGGATGTCACTGATAATATATGTCAACATCAAAATCATTGGAGGGTGGTTCTCTATTCGGCATTTTTATCGTAATTTCTTACTCAACAATGTAACTGTTATATAATAACGTGTTAACACACGTGCAACAGTTACATTGTTGAATAGGAAATATAACTAATTTTTAGATCACATGTAACGTTGTGTTTACTGGGTTTTTAAAATCTATTTTAAATATTATTATTTTTCAGTCGACCCACCATATGTCATAATAAATTCTAATGAGGAAGTTAAAAAATTGGAAGGATGTATGTCTTTGCCACTTTTATTAAAAGGTATACATACATCTAAAAAAAGAAAAATAGAGGAGCATATATATGAGCAAGTAAAATCATAAACAATTTAATAATAAATAATTATTTAAATAAAACGATATATGGAATTATTGAAATCAACTTTTCCTTTGATTAAAATTATGATATTCTTAATCAAATTTTAAAACTATTTTTTCTCTTGCAACATGACAATTTCCAGTGTTTTCAACATGACAATTTCCAATGTTTTCATGACATTTAAAATGGATTGGTTTGTTTTGATATGATTGCTTGTTTTCAAGATACAGTTAAAATTAGAAAAACCTCAGTAAACCAGCACAATATTTACGTATCAGTAATATAACATAGATATATTATATCAGCACAATATTTACGTTTCAATAATATAACATAGATATATTATGTCAGCACAATTATGTGGTTTATTATGTAACTATTATCTCTCAAGTAGCAGACTCACGTCAAAATGACGTCAAAAACTGGTCATAATTGGTCGATTAACGTCAAGTGATTAAATAATGACATCTTTAAGACGTCTTTTTTGTGACGTCTTAATGACGTTTCTGTACAACATCTTAATGACTTATTATATGGATGTTTAAAGACGTCATTAAGTCATCTTCGGTCTGTGACATTAAATCGTCATTTTGACGACATTTTCACGACATTTTTGGTCATTCCATGGTTATTTTTGATCATGAATTGACCAGATTTGGTCGTTATTTTGATGTAAGTCTGCTATTATGTATTTATTACGTAACAAATAGTATTTTAGTACTTACAAATAGTAGTACAAATAGTAAACAGTTTTACAAATAGTATTTATTACGTAACAAATTACATAATTGTGCTACAATAACATATTTATGTTACATTATTGATACATAAATACTGTGCCGATTTATTGGGACTGACAGCGCGCTCTAAATATCCATATCGTTGTTGCGAATCACCCTATATACACATGTTTTATTCATAAATTCATTTTAACATTATTTACTATCTAACATTGAAATTTTCGCACACTTTTTATAGCTGTATTCTTTTTCATAGAAAATAAAAAGTTAGTTTACAACAAAAAATTTATTCTATATATTCTTTTGTCTTACAGAAGCAGAATAAGAAGATGGTTTCCTCTACATAAAAATTAAAATAGAATCTTCAAAATAATTGAAAATAAATTGAAATGTTAAAAATGTTTTGTAATGTTTAAATAATATAATACAATATATTACATTGCTTTGAATTAAATATTCTGAATTAAATAGATATATAACCCACACAGCACGTGATATATATAATATCACAATAATATTTCAATAATATTTCTGCGATATTACAATATTACGGAAATATTACTATATTACTGATATTATATAATATTACGTGCTGTGTGGGTATTATTTTACATTTTTTGTTATAGGATTATTGTAGGCTTAAAACATATTTTTTGGGAAATTTTTTTCTGAGAAAATCTGAACTTCAATTACTTAGAAACTTGTATATATATTTGTTGAACTTTTTTCTTCAGTTATTTATTAATCAAGGCTTTGTAATACTTTATTGCTAAATAGCAAGCCGTTAAAATATATATTTTCGAAAGGTTTTCCTCGAACGGAAGAAATTAGCCATAAAATTAGTGCATTA